CATACTGAAGGAGATCAGTCCTGGGTATTCATTGGCAGGACTGATGCTGAAGCTGAAACTCCAGTACTTTGGCCACCTCATGTGAAGAGTTGACTCATTGGAAAAGACCCTGATGCTGGGAGGGATTGGGGGCAGGAGGAGAAGGGGACAATAGAGGATGAGATGGCTGGATGGCATCACCAACTTGATGGGCATGAGTTTGAGTAAACTCCAGGAGTTGGTGATGGACAGGGAGGCCTGGCATGCTGCAGTTCATGGGGTCACAAAGAGTCAGACACGACTGAGCGACTGAACTGAACTGAACTGAATGCTGATCCAACTCAAGAGCATGAAATCTCTTTGTTTCCTCTCATCTATGCCACAAATAATACTAGAGAAAAATAATTATTGGCTGGAGATTTAAGTATAACAAACTATAGGAGATGCTCTATTATAGCATGTTATGGAAGATAGTTTTCAGATGGACCCTGAACTTCCAACTCTTAAGAAAGGTCTTCAGCCCCATGCATCAACCAAAGTGCCAGCCTCCGATCATATTGTTCTGCCTTCTCTCCTCTTCCCACATATCACACTCTTTTCTTATTTTTTATCTATTATATTCCTAGATGCCTGTTCCTTTTTAGAAGAAACCTTAGCTAAATAGTTTACAATCTCCTCATATCTCATGTTCATGAACCCTTCTCTAGAATTGATAGACAAAAAATACTTCCATAAACAAAAGGAGTTACTTAATGAAATTAAATTTTGATGTGAGATTTTACTCCTGGTAAACTAACTCTTGATTGCCAGGAGAAATATCAACAACCTCAGATATGTAGATGATACTACTTTAAGGGTAGAAAGTGAAGAGGGACTGAAAAGCCTCTTGATGAAAGTGAAAGAGGAGTGTGAAAAAGCTGGCTTAAAACTCAACATTCAAAAAACAATGATCATTACATCCAGTCCCATCATTTCATGGCATACAAATGGGCAAAATGTGGAAACAGTGTCAGATTTCATTTACTTGGGCTCAAAAATCAGTGTGGATGGTGACTACAGTCACAAAATTAAAAGACACTTACTTCTTGAAAGAATAGCTATGACAAACCTAGACAGAATATTTAAAAGCAGAGACATCAGTTTGCCAACAAAGATCTGTATAATTAAAGCTACAATTTTTCCAGTAATCTTATACAGATATGAGATTTGGACCATAAAGAAGGCTGCACATTGGATAATTGATACTTTCTAACTGTGGTGCTAGAGAAAACTCTTGAGGGTCCCTTGGACAGCAAGGAGATCAAACCAGTCAATCCTAAAGGAAATCAACCCTGAATATTCATTGGAAGGACTAATACTGAAGTTTAAGCTCCAAAACTTTGGCCACCTGATGCAAAGAGCCGACTCTTTGGAAAAGACTCTGATGCTGGGAAAGATTGAGGGCACGAGGAGAAGGGGACGAGAGAGGATGAGATGGTTGGATGGCATCACCGACTTAATGGACATGTTTGAGCAAACTCAGGGAGAGGGTGAAGGACAGGGAAGCCTGGCATGCTGCAGTTCATGGGGTCTCAAAGTGTCGGATATGACTTAGCGATTGAAAACAACAATAACAAAACTATCTGTCTAGTAGACACCCTTCTTAACTCAGCTTTCCAACTGTAAGTAAATTAATTACAAGAGATTTTTCTCAACTCTGTTCATTTCTGTTCCACCAGTATTTATCACAGTGCTTGGCACAAAGGTGATGTTTTTAAAGTGTTTGGAAAATGAATGATTAATTGGTTAATAAGAAAGGTGTTAATACATACCCTTTAGGATATCACAGTAATTCATTTGCATAAAGGATTACTGTTCACACAAGTTGCAGTCCTTCCAGGAATCAGAGAAAACAAGAATAGCTATTTTGCTAATAATGCTACATATTAGCTGTGTATAGATTGTATCTTTGTAATGAAAACTTTTGTAATGGTAACGGTAATTTCACTGAGTACAGAAATCCAATTCAGTTTTATGCTGATTATTTAATACTTCATGCCAACAATAACATATAGACACTAATGCAAAAAAAAGGAAGGACTTAATTTTTGAAGTTTACATAACCACAACTGGTTCAAGATAATAATACTTTAGAAGTGAAGTTGCTCAGTAGTGTGTGACTCTCTGCAATCGCATGGACTGTAGCTTACCAGGCTTGAATTTTCCAGGCAAGAGTACAGGAGTGGGTTGCCATTTCCTTCTCCAGGGGATCTTCCCAACCGGTGGATCGAACCCGGGTCTCCCACATTTCAGGCAGGCACTGTACCCTCTGAACCACCAGAGAAGCCCAATAATGTTTTAGGAAAAACATTAAAGTAGATAGGGCTTCCTCCATGGTGGTAGTGGTAAAGAACAGAACTGCCAATTCAGGCGATGCAAAAGACACAGGTTCAAATCCTGGGTCAGGAAGATCCCCTGCAGGAGGAAATGGCAACCCACTCCAGCAGTCTTGCCTGGAAAATCCCATGAACAGAGGAGCCTGGTGGGCTACAGTCCACAGGGTTTCAAAGAGTCAGACATGACTGAAGCATTAGCACACAGTATTAAAGCAGCTACTTAATCTTGTAGAAAACTTTGACTTATGATCAGTTTTATGAAGTTTTGCCTTCCTCATATCAAGAATACAAATGGCAAGGGCTATTTTAGAATGATGTTCTCAAAGGAACTATAATTTATTGTTTATTTATACAACATTATGGCATAAAACATACTTTTGAGCTCAAAATATTATAGATACTAAACAATGCTGTAATCCACTCCACCTAAAATGCCACTTGATTATTTTCCTGAAATGTATTTCTTTATCAAAACCCTCTTTATTGTTACTTTTATTGACAAAGCTATCACTGCAGCCATTAGTAATTACTTCCTAAGACCCAGTTTTAGGGACAACATTTGAATGAATGCATTTTTAACATTATAGAGTTCGGATAGTGTTTTCTGAGCAGAAAGACCGCACTCTAAGTGGTATTTGACACATTATGTGACCATTGGTTATGATGTATTGCTTTTTAGCACTAATATCACATACGCATCAGGAAGTCAATGAGCATGGATGGTTCTCTTTAATAATGTTTGAATATTACTTCAAAACAGAAAAGAGGTTGCAATAATTAAATATCAGAGAATATGAGTTTTAAGGTATTGAAGAATGTAATAGCAGCAGAGGGAAACTCACCCATAGAGAAAATTGACATAATATATTAACCTCACCTGCCCTTTATGACACTGTTTTCAGAAAATGATTCTAACCTAAAACCAAACTATCCAGGGAAGCCAAAGGCTTACACTATTTCATTTACTGTTTAAGAATATGCTGCTGCTGCTGCTGCTAAGTCGCTTCAGTCGTGTCTGACTCTGTGCGACCCCATAGACGGCAGCCCACCAGGCTCCCCCGTCCCTGGGATTCTCCAGGCAGGAACATTGGAGTGGGTTGCCATTTCCTTCTCCAATGCATGACAGTGAAAAGTGAAAGTGAAGTCGCTCAGTTGTGTCTGACTCTTAGTGACCCCTTGGACTGCAGCCTACAAGGCTCCTCCATCCATTGGACTTTCGAGACAAGAGTACTGGAGTGGGTTGCCATTGCTTTCTCTAAGAATATACCAAGAAGGTAAACCACAAATACTTGATTGTTTTCAGTAAGAAGCCCCAATCTATATCCACTAGAAATAAAGTTTGATCCCTCGACTGCCCAGCACAATTCATTTTTTTTTTTTTTTACTAAATAAATCTATTTTTACTAATAAAAACTAATGTTTAATATAAATAAATGTAGAATAATGTTGACTGATTTTATTATTCAACTGTAGTCAAAAACTAAATGTTAAAATCCATGTTAAAGTGGTTGCTTGTTTAGTTTTCTAAATGCTTTGCTTATTCTGTATTTTTAGTCATGTGAACTTGAGTTCACTCTCACACTTGTTTCCTAATAATTATTGGCTACAGTTTATATATGCCTGCCTCTTGAGAAACCTGTATGCAGGTCAGGAAGCAACAGTTAGAACCGGACATGGAACAACAGACTGGTTCCAAATAGGAAAAGGAGTACATCAAGGCTGTATATTGTCACCCTGCTTATTTAACTTATATGCAGAGTACATCATGAGAAACGCTGGGCTGGAAGAAGCACAAGCTTGAATCAAGACTGCCGGGAGAAATATCAATAACCTCAGATATGCAGATGACACCACCTTTATGGCAGAGAGTGAAGAGGAACTAAAAAGCCTCTTGATGAAAGTAAAAGAGGAGAGCGAAAAAGTTGGCTTAAAACTCAACATTCAGAAAACTAAGATCATGGCATCTGGTCCTATCACCTCATTGAAAATAGATGGGGATACAGTGAAAACAGTGTCAGCCTTTATTTTTGGGGGCTCCAAAATCACTGCAGATGGTGACTGCAGCTATGAAATTAAAAGACGCTTACTCCTTGAAAGGAAAGTGATGGCCAACCTAGATAGCATATTAAAAAGCAGAGACATTACTTTGTCAACAAAGGTCCGTCTGGTCAAGGCTATGGTTTTTCCAGTGATCATCTATGGATGTGAGAGTTGGACTGTGAAGAAAGCTGAGCGCCAAAGAATTGATAATTTTGAACTGTGGTGTTGGAGAAGACTCTTGAGAGTCCCTTGGACTGCAAGGAGATCCAACCAGTCCCCTAAAGGAGATCAGTCCTGGGTGTTCATTGGAAGGACTGATGCTGAAGTTGAAACTCCAGTACTTTGGCCACCTCATGCGAATAGTTGACTCACTGGAAAAGACCCTGCTGCTTGGAGGGACTGGGGGCAGGAGAAGAAGGGAACAACAGAGGATGAGATGGCTGGATGGTGTCACCGACTCGATGGGCATGAGTTTGAGTAAACTCCGGGAGTTAGTGATGGACAGGGAGGCCTGGCGTGCTGTGATTCATGGGGTCTCAAAGAAGCGGACATGACTCAGCTACTGAAATGACTGACTGACAGTTTATATTATCTTTCTATTTTTAGAGACAAGACCCCCTTGAAAACCAGAGTTGTGCGACATTCTTAAAGCTACATATTGAACAGACTTCAAATGCAATTCCGCCAATTACAGGAGAAAACAAGTGAGCCTCCTTCATTGTCTTATATCTAAAAGTTCACATTTGAAATTTTTAAGAAAATATTGCATTCTTTTTATTATCACTACATAATTTGCCTTCATACTCATCCTATTTTATAGAAAATGAGCCCTATTTAGCATCTTTTAAAAATAAATGCATTTAGGTAAGTGACAATTATACACATTCAATAAAGGTTATCCGAATTCCCAGTAAATTTTTAAAACAGGGGACCATATTGTTTTTGCTAGAAATATGAAGTTAATAGCTAAAAATTATCTTTTTTTAACTTCAATTAATTCAGTTATTTCTACTTAAACTACTGTTATCTGTTTAATCTTTGGAGCATAGCATCTACTGGTGCTTAGCAAAACTAAATCTACCACATTATACTGAAAAATCTTGTTGAAATATGCATATTAAAATAAAATTAAAGTAGGTCAGATATTTTATTTACAGTTGTCCCATTCTGCTCATTTAATTACTTAATTAAAAAGAAACCATAAATGTCAGTATGCAGTGACTAGATAAACAAAGCAAATAAAGGCTGTTACATTTGATTGTGAAGTCATATTTCTGTGTGTGACCACTAGATAGTATCAGTTTAGAACTAGTATCATTGATGACCTTTAGGAGGAAGCAATTTTCAGAAAGTCAAAAGAACTACTGAAACAGCAATGGTCTCTATCTGGCTTATAACAGTTCCAGTACAAGGCATGTAATTAATTAGTTAAAAGATACAAAGAATAAAATCCAAAATCAAAGAAATTTACTCTCAGAAGCCAGTCTTTATATATTGCCTAGTAATAACTATTTTAATGGTATTTAATAAATATTTAGTTGAATATTTATTAAATAAATGTTTAATAAATCTAATAGTTTCGGTTTCTATACTTTTAATGTATAGAAGAGTGTAGTTAACTTTTTTTACTTAACTTTTTACAAAGTATATGCCCATTTGTGTGCTCCTATGGCATCAGGTACACTTTGAATGTTCCTGTGATAATGTCTCAATGTATAGGGAATACATGCTACACACTTCAAAAACCTTTTTCTTAAAGTAATCATTCCCTTCTCTGGATGCCTGAAGTGATTACTGCCTTCAGCATTATTTTAATTCTTTCTGCATCTGATTTTAACTATTCAAGTTTATAAATTAGTTATCCTACACCTCTAAAGAAGTAAATAAAGCATTTAAGTCATTGAAGAACCATTTACTCCTATATATTTTGTGCAAAATATACCCTCATCAAGATACCTCACTGAATATATTGCACAAAGTATGTAATCCCTAAATATGTTTACCTACATAATTGAACTAGAACTGATTCATTGGAAAAGACCCTGATGCTGGGAAAGATTAAATGCTGAAGGAGAAGGGGACGACAGAGGATGAGATGGTTGGATGGCATCACCCACTCCATGGACATGAGTTTGAGCAAACTCCAAGGGTTGCTGATGGACAGGGAAGCCTGGTGTGCTGCCATCCATGGGGTCGCAAAGAATCAGACAGGACTGAGAGCCTGAACTGAACTGAACTGATGAGATATTAAATCACTATTTTACACTGAATAGAAAAAAAGTTCATCTTCATGATTCTAAAATTAATTAAGACAAATAATATCTAATCCTTATATATCCCACGCTCTTTTTGATTACATGTACATATACTTTTGCTTCCCATATGGCACCCAAGTAAAGAATCTGCCTGCCAAGGCAAGAGATGTGGGTTTGATCCCTGGGTTGAAATGGCTACCTGCTCTAGTACTCTTGCCTGGAAAATTCCATGGACAGAGGACCCTGGTGGACCACTGTCCATGGATCACAAAAAGTTAGACAAAACTGAACACACATATACACACACATGTACTACTGAATTAGTTAAATGCTCTCTGTAGTATTTATTATTGTATTTAGCTGCTTGTATCTTTATGAGCACCTTAGTTTCTATGCTTCAAATCAAAAGCCAGTTAACTTGCATGTCTTAAATGATTTCTTAACACTAGAACCCTCCTCTTTTCCTACCACTGGCCTTTTTATGCAATAAGACAGCAGGATCTAAGACTAAAAATTTTGTATAGAAGCCTGTGACCTGCTCTCTGTAGAGAGAATAGCTTCTAAAATAGAACAACAGCATCTGTGTTGCTCTAATTTGAAACAGCTCATTCATAGCAAATTTGCACTTATTTATTTAACTTCAAATAATTTAAAGTTTTTATCTACTTTAATTCCCATTAGCCCATGGAGGGTAGAGTAGAAAGGGAACTAATTACTTTATATAGTTTATACAAACAGAAATTATGAATTTTGATTTCCTTTAATGTTCCAAGAGAATATATTTAAAGCACATACTTAAGACAGGTGAAAATATCCCATTAGATATCTCTACAGATTGATATCATTCATCTTTTAAATCTCTTCCATTGTCTTCCTTTTTAAATGATTTGAGAAAGCACATGTAAATAATCAAACAAAAACCATGTGGATATAGCACTTCTTTAATTCTGATATTACTCAATTTTCCCCCTTATGTTTTTAACTCCTTGAGAGAAGTGATCATATTCTAGATACTCTCAACCAACTGAAATCTATTTACTTCTTTTATTAAAAAACTATTTTTCTTTTGTCAAGAACACTGTGATATCCTCGTTGTGGAATGCAATAAATGACTTTCAAAATTTTCTGATCTGGTATTTTGGAGCAGATATATGATGCTCCTTTTTGGATCTTTTTCTTTCCTTCTATTACATCAGTATGTTTAACCCATTGGCTCTCCTCACATTCCTACTCTGCTCTTTTTTTTTTTCTTTCCTGTAGGGATAAATGCTTGTATATAGTAATAAATTTTGTTGCAAATATGTATATCCAGTTCATAAGTTTCTCTAGCCTTTTGAAAGCTGTTAATTTCAGGATTTTGATCATTATACCAGTTATTTTCTACTTTTTAAAAAATTCTTTTTCTCTGTTCTCAAACTGTCTTCTTTACTCTTGTCCTCTTCTCTCCTTTTTTCTTCTCTTTGGGCTTCTTTTTTGTTTTTTCTCTCATATACATCCCAGGAAATCTCATTCACTTCAGGGACTTCAACTACCAACTATATTTTGAGTATTCCTAGAACATCATTGATATCTGAATTATATCTTGACCTCTCTATCACCTGTTATGTACCTTGAAATTAATCAGATCAAATGCAGATTTCAAAACTCTTCATCTGTAGTCTACATTTTCTATTTCAACATCATCTATATGACCAAACCCAGAGGATTAGGAATCACCTGCATCCCCTACTCTCTAACTACTGCATTCTTATGGCCTTATTAGTCATCCCTCAATTTAAACTCCCCAGTTCTCCCATGTCCTCATCACTGTAGGACCTTCTTTAATGCAGATACATAAAATAAATAAATGATGGACTTAGTCCATGGAATTCAGAGAGCCTGATTTGCAATAGAATAATCCACAATAGCAAATTTATATCTTGAGCCATGTATGGGCTGTGAGTACTCAGGAAAATGTATTTCTTAGTGTTATGAGACTTCCCTGGTGACTTAGACGGTAAAGAATCTGCCTATGATGTGGAGACCCAGATTCAATCTCTGGGGGTCGAGAAGATCCCCTGGAGAAGGGAATGGCTACCCACTCCAGTATTCTTGCCTAGAAACACCATGGTCACAGGGGCCTGGCAGGCTACAGTCCATGGGGGTCCCAGAGTCGGACATGACTGAGCAACTAACACTAAAGTGTTAAACAAATCAAAACCTAGGATAGTAAATAAAATTGTAACCAAAAACAAAAATTATATAAATAAGTTGAGACAAAAATGAGACCAAATAAAAAGTGGGTAAAAGACCAGGACTATACAGAAATAAAGAGTATTAGAATAGATAAGAATTAATGGGTCTAAAGAGGAAATCATGTAAAGTCTTTAATGAGCAAACTAAAACTCTGCATATTGGAGATTATTTTAAAGATAGCAGATTAAAATGGACACCTATGAATAGAAAGAATATTAATCTATATCTGCTTAATTTCCTTCTTGGATTTTTGTGACATTTCTTAATGGTATCCTCTCCCTATTTCATTTCTTATTACTCCAAGAGTAATAGATGTAAAAGAGAAATTTTTAATTCAGTAATTTTTATTTCAACATCCATTATATAGTGCTCTTTTTCACATAGAATAAGTACCAATATATTTTTCATATCTTAGCATATCCTTCATGATCTGGAAGTTATAGACCACTTTAATTAATGTTTTACCACATTTTCCACTTGAAATTCAACCCTAATTATATTAAAATAATTTCACTTCCCAATACTGTCATGCTCATTCAAGTTACCTTTCTTAGTATGTGTATGTGTTTGATACCTTTGTCTGGAAAGTTTGCATGTAGAATTCTTTCAAAACATAGCTTATTTTTTAAGGAAGAGCTTCCATTTTTTCTACCCAAAATACCCAATGCTATTATTTTCTTGAAATATTTATCTAACTACATTACCTTTTTGCCTATATATCAAATTCATTTTTCCCCCCGACATCAAAGGCCTTTTCTCTGTATATAGGAACTAAAAAGGGTAAGTACTTGGTAGCTGTTTATTTTACTTCAACTATAAAGAGAGTTTTAAGAAATTTTGATGAGGCATAATAAAATACTGATAATGTAAATTAGATAATTGAAATAAATTATAGCTTTCTTGCTTTGCTGTATATACAGACAGCAGTACATATAATCAGGGCTATGCATTCTGCCTTTCCCAAACTCTGGAACCTTGAGAATGAACTAAAGTTTAGTTGTGACTTGACATTCAGATTAAATAAATCAGTAACATTATATATAACTCAAAATTAGCCTTAAATAGTTTTAAAACTTATTTTAAAAAAATTAAAAATTACCATACTATATATCTATAGGAAATGCTAAGGGAAAGAATAAATTTGAAAAGGTTGAATCAT